GGCCGCGGACCCCAAGCCGGCGGAGATCACGGATGTGCCCCCGGTGGATCGCGGGGCCGCGGAGCCGCCAGAAGAGGCTCCCAGGAGCAGGTACGTACTCGGAGCGGGGAGCATTTTCACCTCCGGACCTGCCGGCCGAGTGGGTGAACTTCACAGTAGGAGTCACTCCCTCGCTAGAACTAAGTTTTACAGTTGAAGCCGCAGGATGTAGATTCTGGGGAGAGAACCATGCCTTCGGGTGGCTGTGGGAGGAATCCAGGTGTAGCAGTGTTGAAGTGAATAGCCACACGTGGTATTATTCATTGGAGAATTTAGATGACCGTAGTTTTCATTCTTCTGGAGTACTTTTGCGGGGGTAAGTAGTTTTTTAAATTTTAAAAACATTTTTATGTATATTTATTGACTTTTAGAGAGAGGGGAAGGGAGAGAGAAAGAAACATCAATTTATTGTTCACTTCTTTATGCATTGATTAGTTGCTTCTTGTATGTGCCCTGACTGGGGATTGAACCCACAACCTTGGCTTAGGCAACTTTGCCTTATCTGGAGGATGCTCTAACCAACTGAGCTACCCGGCCAGGGCAAGACATTTATTATTATTTTTTAAATTTTATTTTATTTATTTACTGGAGGCCTAGTGCATGAAATCGTGCATGGGTGGGTCCCTTGGTGTGGCCTGCTGGAATCAGGCCCCAGCTGGCACCCCCAGCCTCACAGCCCCGCCTGGCACCCTGCCTTGGCCTGGCACCCTGCCTTGGCCTGGCACTGCCCCCTCACCTGCTCCACCATCCTGCCTGCAGGGCGATCAATTGGGGCTGGTCTTAGTCCCCCTCTACCCCCTCCCCCCCCAGCTCCCTCAGCACTTGGGAGCCTGAGAGTGGCCCTGTCCCCTGCTGCTGCTGCTGCTGCTGGTTGCTGTCGGTTCCCCAGTGCCTCCACTGCCACCTGCTGCCAGCACTCCATTGCTGACACCTGCCATGCTCCACGTTGCCCCCTGGTGGTCAGTGCACATCATAGCGAACGGTCAAACTCCCGGTCATTCAGTTTGCATATTAGGCTTTTGTTATATACAATTTAGTTTATTTTGTTAAATATATTTTTATTGGTTTCAGAGAGAAAGGGAGAGGAAGAGGGAGATAGAAGCATAAATGATGAGAGAGAATCGTTGATAGGCTGCTTCCTGCACACCCCACAGTGGGGATCCGTGTCAGGGGAATCGAGCCCTGACCTCCTGGTTCATAGGTCGATGCTCAACCACTGAACAATGCCCACTGGGCTACGGAGTTAGCCAATCAATGATTCTCTCTCATCATTTAAAAAATATATGTATTTTTATTGATTTCAGAGAGGAAGAGAGAGGGAGTGAGAGATAGAAACATCAATGATGAGAGAGAATCATTGATGGGCTGCCTTCTGCAGGACCCACACTGGGGATTGAGCCTGTAACCCAGGCATATACCTTTGACTGAAATTGAACCTGGGACCCTTCAATACACGGGCTGATGCTCTATCCACTGTGCCAAACGGGCTAGGGCTTTAATTTTTTTAAAATATATTTTTTATTGATTTCAGAGAGTAACAGAGAGAAAGAGAGAGAGACAGATGCATAAGTATTCTTTTTATTTTCTCTTATAAAAATACATTTTTATTGATTTCACATAAATGTGAAGGGAGGGGGATGGAGAGATAGAAACATCAATGATGGGAGAGAATCATTGATAGGCTGCTTCCTGCACACCCCACAGTGGGGATCCGTGTCAGGGGAATCGAGCCCTGACCTCCTGGTTCATAGGTCGATGCTCAACCACTGAACAATGCCCACTGGGCTACTTATTTATTTTTAAAATTTATTTTTAAAAAATATTTTTATTGATTTCCGAGAGGAAGGGAAAGGGAGAGAAAGATAGAAACATCAGTGATTAGAGAGAATCACTGATTGGCTGCCTCCTGCACACCCCACACTGGGGATTGAGCCTGTAACCCAGGCATATACCTTTGACTGAAATTGAACCTGGGACCCTTCAATACACGGGCTGATGCTCTATCCACTGTGCCAAACGGGCTAGGGCTTTAATTTTTTTAAAATATATTTTTTATTGATTTCAGAGAGTAACAGAGAGAAAGAGAGAGAGACAGAAAACATCAATGATGAAAAAGAATCATCAATTGGCTGTTTCCTGCATGCCCCCAAACTGAGGATTGAGCCCGCAATCTGGGCACGTGCCCTTGACTGGAATCGAACCCAGGACCTTTCGGTCCACAGGCTGATGCTCTATCTCCTGAGCCAAACCCGCTAGGACTTCTTCTTCTTTTTTTTTTTTTTTAGTGTTTTTATTATTTTTTTTTAGAGAAAGAGAGGGAGGGAGAGGAATAGAGAGATAGGCCCAGCTGGTGTGGTTCAGTGGTTGTGCGTTGACCCATGAACCAGGAAGTTAAGGTTGGATTTCTGGTCAGATTCCATGCCCTGGTTTCAATCCCCAGTAGGAGGAAGGCAGGAGGCAGCTGATTGATGATTCTCATCACTGATGTTTCTATTTCTCTTTCTCCCTTCCTCTCTCTGAAATGAATAAATTTTTTTTTAAAAAAAACATTGATTAGAGAGGAACATCATCAAGTGGCTGCCTCCTGTATGCCTCCTGCTGGGAACCGAGCCTGCAACCTTGGGCATGTGCTCTGATAAGGAATTGAGCTAGCCACCTCTTGATTCATGGGTTGATGCTCAACCTTTGAGCCACACTGGCCAGGCTACCCTCCTTCTCCCCCCTTCTTGACTTACCTTGCTTTCAAACCATTCCTGAAATACTTATATCCAATGTGAACTGTATCTAGTATCTAATTTGGAGTGACTGAGCACATTTTTTTGGAGTGAAGAGTTTGATAGCTGTATAAGTAGAGTTGTGCCTGACAAAAGACAAATGATTTCTGCCTCAAATAGAATTTTGTTTGATTAACATAGCTAAGTGTGTATCTTCAAATACTGCAATTCAAATATTTCAGAGGTTTGATGTGTATATTTGGCTTAACTAATCTCAGGTTGATAATTAAAGTAAAATGCCAAAATTTAGATCAATTTAGATGGATGTCAGTGTGGATTATAAGCTTAACTTACAAAAAATAACTTTGGCTCAGTGGATAGAGTGTCGGCCTGCGGACTGAAAGGTCCCAGGTTTGCTTCTGGTCAAGGGCATGTACCTTGGTTGCGGGCACATCCCAGTGTGGGGTGTGCAGGAGGCAGCTGATCGATGCTTCTAACTCTCTTCTATCCCTCCTCTTTCCTCTCTGTAAAAAATCAATGAGATATATATGCTTTGTTATCTGATGATTCGAACTAGGTTAACTAAACTTTGTTTTTGTAAGTTAGGTTTTTGTGTTTGTGTGTTTTCTTTTTTGAGGGACTCAGCATGAACATAAAATCGTGCTGTAATGTGCTTAAGGACTTAGAATTTACATATCTGTTAAAATGATTTGCTAAAAGTTTTTATTCCAACATCTGTTACAACAAACATACATCTCAAGTCAATGATTTTTTTTAAATAATGAGATTTTACTGTTTTGGATTTTTACCAAATTAGTTTAAAAATATTTTTATTGCCCTTCCCTAGCTGGTTTGGTTCAGTGGGTAGAGCATCGACCTGTGGACAGAAGGGTCCCGGGTTTGATTCCAGTCAAGAGCACATGCCCAGGTTGTGGGCTCGATCCCCAGTGGGGAGTGTGCAGGAGGCAGCCAGTCAATGAGTCTATCTCATCATTGATGTGTCTCTCTCTCTCTCTCTCTCTCTCTCTCTCTCATAAAAAAGTGTCTATTAGAACAAAACACAACAACTCCCTTCCTCTCTGAGATCAATAAAAATATATTAAAAAAATAAAAATATTTGTATTGATTTTGGAGAGGAAGGAAGAGGGCTAGAAACATCAATGATGAGAGAGAATCATTGTTCAGCTGACTCCTGCACTCCCCCTACTGTGGATCAAGCTTGCTACCCAGGTGTATGTTCTGACCTGGAATCGAACCATGACTTCCTGGTTCAGAGGTCAACACTCAATCACTGAGTAACACCAGCCAAATTAGGTTTTAAAACTAATATATTTAAAACAAGATCCAATATACCCTTTTTATTTTCTTTTTGAATTTCAACAGTAATGAAAAGACTGATGGTAAGAATGATGTTGAAGAATCCAGTAAATCTTCCTCTGCTGTTTCACAGAGAAGAAAGCGAATATCAAGTACTCCTACTCTGGTTAAGCCTAGTGTCAGTGTTCCTTCAGAGCCTCATCCCTTATCTGCAGTTAATCAAGAAGATCCACAGCCACACCCAATACCAACAAAAGAGAAACAGCCATGCTCCGACAGATACCGAATATATAAAGCCCAGAAACTGAGAGAAATGTTAAAAGAAGAATTAAGAAAAGAGAAGGTAAGAGAGGAAAATCAGAATTTTGACTGCCTGCCAGATTTCAGTTTTTGTGTCAGTTATCATTGGAGGAAAAATAATCATTTGTAGCATTATATGGGGGAACAAAACCAAGTAACATCCTTCATGTTAACAGAATATCCCCTTTTCTCTCTTTTTTTTTTCTGAAATATTTTTTAATTTTAATTCTTTATTGTTGACCCCTCCCCTCCCTTGTCCTCTACCAGCCTGGTCCCATCCCCTCCCCCAGCCCTGGCCTTCACCCCCTCCCCCCCAATTGTCTGTGTTCATTGGTTATGCTTATATACATACAAGTTCTTTGGTTGATCTCTTCTCCCCTCCTCTTTTCTTAACGGAATGATTAAGAAGCACTGTGGATTTAACCTTTTTTTCCATTATACTAATTTTTATGTTTTATTTGTCTATATTTTGATTGTTTTTGGTGAAGGCTACAAATAGAAGCTTCATGCATGCACACAGATACCCATATAAGCATATTTATAACTTTGTTGTTTCTTTAAATGTTTTTATTGATTTCAGAGAGAGGAAGGCAGAGGGAGATAGAACATCAATGATGAGAGAATTATCGGTCAGCTGCCTCCTGCAGCACCCCTTATTGGGGATTGAGCCTGAAACCAGGGACTATGCCCTGACTGGGAAATCAACCACCATATCCTGGTTCATGAGTTGACTCAACCACTGAGCAACACTGGCCAGACTGTGTTTTATTTTTTTAATTGTTTTTATTTTTTATTTTAATTGACTTTTAGAGAGAGAGGAAGGGAGAGGTACAAAGGGAGAGAGAGAAACATCAACTGACTGCCTCCTACACATTCCCCTACTGGGGGTTGAGTCTGCAACCCAGGCACTGCCTTGATAGGGAATTGAAACAGCCAGCTTTTGGTGTATGGGGCAGTGCTTAGCTAACTGAGCTACACCAGCTGGGCATACTTATAACTTTTAATCAGATTTTTTTATGAGGCTGTCCAAGTGACATGAGTTACATTCATTTGATTTAAGACAAGTATAGTTGAGCAAAAATGAATTAGTAATATTTTCTAAATTGACAATATGGAAAATTATAAATGGAAAAAATATTCATGTATGCATATAGTAGAGTCCATGTCTTTTTTCATCTTGAAGCTTATTTTTCTAAGAGGACAATGTAACCAGTGAAGCATGCAAGCTCTGGAGTTAGTTACTAAAGGTTTGAATATTAGATTCATCCATTACTGACTATATGACTTTAGGCAATTTAATTTCTTTCTTTGTGTATTTCCTCATCTGTAAAATAGGACTAATAATAGTATCTACCTAATTGAAGGATTGTGAAGATTAAATGCATTAATACATGTAAAACTCATTTAGATTAGTGTCTGGCAAATAATAAGAACTTAACAAATGTCAGCTTTTAATTATAGCATTCTCTTCTTTTTTTAATTAAGAGGAAGGCACTTAGCTTGGTGCTTTATATTTGTTATCTCAGAATCACTCTTTTACACCAAAGGAAACAAGCTCAGAGAGGTTATTTTTTTTTTTTTATGTTACACATTTGAATCCGTATTCTTTAAAACCTAAGCCTGAAAAATGTTGTTTTATAGAATATGCTTAATTAGATTTATTTTGGGCAATTAAAAATTAGACATTTGCTTCAAGAATTTTATAAAATACACAGAATTAGAATTCACTGCAGGGTAAGCAAAAGCTATGTATTTATAAATTCTCAGTAAATTATTATAGTTAGAAGGCACCAGTAAGCATGATTTTATACATTGGGCTTTTATCCAGTCCCAGTCACTTTAGTGTTTAAAATTCCTTAATATGCAACAACTTCTTAATGTTCAGTTTATAAAATTTTCCCTAAAATTGTGCATAATTGTGGTAGGAGTAATATTCAAGCATTTGCAATGAATGCAGTAGTGGACTGTATACTTGAATATAGTTACATTTGAAATTCTTCTATATTTAAAAATAAAAGTGGA